CCCTGACAATTCTGTGATTCTGTGATGATTCTAAGTGGGTTTGCTTGTACTAGAAACACAGAGGTAGCCGTCTGTCTCATGTTAACTAACGCAGGAAGTTCCATCTAAATATGAGGAAGAGCTTCTTTACTGTGGAAGTGACAGAGCACTGGCACAGGCTGCCCAGGGAGGTTGTGGAGTCTCTATCTTTGGTGACTTTCAAAATTCACCTGGGTGCAATCCTGCATAACGTGCTCTAGGCAGTCCTGCTTTAGCTGAGGGGCTGGACTAAATGGTCTCCTAAGGTCCCTTCCAACTCTGATGATTCTGAGATCTTTAAGGTCCCTTCCAACCCTGACAATTCTATGATTCTATGATATTTCTTTATTAAATCGTAGCCCAGTAGTGATTTGTTCTATTTGTGCCCTATTTAAAAAAAAAAAAGTCATAGATGACCTTGGTAAGCTTAAGGCTAATTTCTTGCTGGACAAATGTTGCTTATCGTATTCTGGGCAAAACAGGTTTTACCCCTCATTAGTCAAGTCTGCTGTTCTCTTGCTAAGTCCTCTTGACAGCGAAGCAATTAATAGCTGACATTTATTATCTGTGTTTTCTCCGCTTTCAGGTAGATCAGCAGCCTCACGATGTGTGGTATCTGGGCTCTGTTTGGGAGCGATGAATGCCTTTCTGTGCAGTGTCTGAGTGCCATGAAGATAGCACACAGGGGCCCTGATGCGTTTCGTTTTGAGAACGTCAATGGATTCACCAACTGTTGTTTTGGTTTCCACCGCCTTGCAGTCGTTGATCAGTTATATGGTATGCAGCCCATCCGGGTAAAGAAATTCCCATATTTGTGGCTGTGTTATAATGGAGAAATCTACAATTTTAAACAGGTGGGTGTCGTATGGTTCATATGTAATTTGCTTTTTCCTTAATTCCAAAACCTAAAAACTTAAAAATGCTTGGAACATGTTTAGGACATGGTGGACTAGAATATCAGAAAAAAAAGAAAAGAGTTAGCAAATGACTAGTACTTAAAAGAAGCTAAATTATCTCAGTGAACTGAAGCTATGGTGGCTTAGTAACATATGTAGTCACTACTACTGAAAAAAATCACTTTTTAACTGACAAGAGGGCAACAAGTATTTGTGTCTTCCGGTTTGCTGAGTTTGAAATAAAGATGCCTTCTTATCTTATTCTTCTTATCTCTTGGGCAATGGAATTCCAAGCATCTTTTTCTCCTTTCTCTCTCTTTATAATGCAAATGGTTTTTAGACTGTCTTGCTCTTCAGTTGCTTTGGGTCATTCTCCAAGCTATTTGTGCATATCAGTCACTTAAAATATGTTAAGGTATAGCTATTTGTGTAAAAGAAACAAGCCCTAGGGACGTGTTTCCCGGTATGTTGGTATGTCCCCAAAGCCCTTTATTTACTTTGCAAAGTGTCAGAATGCCCCTGGGTGCTGTGCTGCTGCGGAACAACCCTTGTGTGCCTCAGACACCCAGATGTCCTGCGTTATTTTGTGAAGGGAATTGATTCAGATCGTTGCTTTGTGAAGGGAATCGATTCAGATCGTCCAGATTTGGCATAAAAAGCAACTTACAATTGTGACTGGTCCTGAATCATGCTGGAACAGAACGCTTAAAATGAATCATAACTTGAGCGTGGTAGTATCAGAAGTGCATGAACAATTTGAGATGTCTTAGTGCTTCCAACACCGTATTTTTGAAGTCTGAGTTGTTCTGCTCTCAGTGATACCAGCGACATCAGTAATATCATTGAGAATTTGAGTAGGCAGGAGGCTATTTTTTTCCCCCAGACCTCAAGTAGCCGGCTGAGAGGCGAGATGTGCTTTGCCCCTGCACTACACATGAACCGTGTTGTACCAACAGCCCGTAATACTTGCTGTTGTTTTGCATTGTGTTTTTTCTGCTGTTGAAAGCGGTAAGAATTACAGTCAGTCATGTTACACACGAAATCCTCAGGAAAGCTTAATAATGCAAAACTTGCATTGCCATCTGCAGGAATTTGGTTGTTCTCACTATGTTAAGTTCCCTTTTCCTTCACAAAAAGGTTTTTTGTTTTCATGCTTGTGGCTGAAACATACCTAGGAGAGGAACGGATGTCTTGTTTAGGGCAATAAATGAGTTATTTTAATATTGACTCAATTTTATCCAAGACTTCGCCCCATAAATAACAACTGAAACCAAAGAACTTAAGTTAAAATACTGAAGAATTGGTTTTGTGGGGTTTTATTGACTTGTTGGTGTCTTACTGAAACCTCTTTCCACCGTCTGGTAGATCCTGAAAGAACTTTTAAGAGTAGCAGCACCACAAGAGTATGAGGAATATTTGGTCTGACTTTAGTCTGGCAGCTAATTTCATCCTCCCCCACTCCATCTGCCCAGACAGAGTGAGAAGGTTAGGCTGAGGACTGGAGGAAGATTAGGCAGAATGAAATTCTCTGTGCATTAAAAAAAAAAAACAGAACCCACTGAGAAATTTCAGTGACTGCATAAGTAAACCAAAGTTTATTTCTGAAGTACTTTGCAGAGATGTTATCAGTTACGAGGTATTTCGGGGTGGGAGGCTTATGTAAATGTCATTATTATATGTCAAGAAAGTGGCACCGAGTGATTTGAGACTACGATAGATGATGACTTTGTTTCTGGTCCTGTTTTGAGTTGATTTTTCTAGAAGCAGTGTCTGCCTGCTCCTATCATTTGTGTGACCTTAGTGCTTCTGAATCGTAGAATCGTTAAGGTTGGAAAAGCCTCTAAGACCATCAAGTCCAACCATCAACCCAACGCTACTGTGACTACTAAACTATAATAAAACCAGAGTCGTGGGTTTGCTGTTTGACATCCTCAGATAGAAACGTTTCCTTTGCCATAATGTGAATAGCTCAAGACTGCAGCCAGTCTACATTGTCTCAGAGATGATCCTGGATAATGTTTTGACCACAAAAATATAATTTCCTTCTTTGGCGGAAACGTATGTGTAACTTTTGAACTGTGATTTTGCAAAAACAATTAGGTTTCTTATTAAATTTTTTTCCAGTTAGTAAGTAATCCGTGTTTGCAGGTGCTTATTTATGTTTTTATGTGGTTTTTTTCTTTCTCAGTTACAGAAGCAGTTTGGATTTGAATATCAAACGTTAGTGGATGGTGAGGTTATCCTTCACCTTTACAACAGAGGAGGAATAGAACAAACAGCATCCATGCTAGATGGTGTGTTTGCTTTCATCCTTCTGGACACCGCAAACAGAAAAGTGTTCCTGGCGAGAGATACCTATGGAGTCAGACCTCTGTTTAAGGTGCTGACTGATGATGGATTTTTGGGTGTCTGTTCCGAGGCAAAAGGTAAAATCAGTTGTGTTTAGTGCTTCAATAATCTTAGGTATTCTTGCTGGAGGCAAACTTCTTTGTCACGCTTTTCTAAGTCTGAAGAGAAAGTGAACTGTAAGTTCTGTACGAAATGAACTGTATTTGGTAGCGTAAGAATTGCACGTTGTTAAAAGAGAAACCACGGACAGCAAACCTGTGAGATGTTTAACTGTCCTTAATATCTCTAATATAACTTGCTTATTTAATTTTATGCTTCTTTGTGTTTTGAAATTATAGCAGCGTTGAGGCCAAAATGTTTGATGTGGTAACCAAAGTTAAAGGTGGTCTAGAGAGTTAGGCAAGACTTATGCTACAATAAATTGTATATAGAATTTATATCTAGTGTTCTGTGGTGAACTGTGAAATAATGCCACAAGAATTGATGATCTGTAAAAGCCAAGAATGTTAATGCCCTACTGAAATTTCCTGTAGCATTGGGTAATTTTCTAGTGACATTTATTTTATCTGATGACTTTTAAACTTCTTTTTCCTTTGAGATGACACATCCACTCTTTTTTTTAAATTTAAGTAATTATCTCTAGTTTTGACAGGCGCGTAAACAAATCCAGACAGTGCCAACAGGAGTTATACCGTCTCTGCTTCGTGGGAAGGAAGAAGGGAAAGGAATGTTTTAGGGACTGTCCCCTGTAAACCACAGCAGTGAGGTGTTGGTCCCTCCAACAGCAATTCAGCATCTCTTTTGTGGAGTTCCTCAAGGGGCATCCAGATGCAAAGCACCCTCTTTCATAAGAGGAATGGAAATGAGGTTTGGCTAAAAGTCTGAGTCCTGCCATTCCTTAGCAGCGGTGTTGATCAGTCTGGAACTGATGAGTTATGAAATCACTCACTCATCGTCAATTAAGCAGTCACTTCAGTGGTCCAGTTTTATCACGACCCCCTTGTTAGCTTGAGAACACTTAATTTTAAACACAAAATCAGTCATTTGAATTCTGATAAGCATATTACACCTTGGCCTGGACGTTATGTAGTCAGAAATGTGCTCTTCTTAATGCTTACCGGGATAAATTGCTACTTGCCAATTAATCAAGCTGGCTGGCTTCCTTTCCCTGCTCTCTGCCTCAGCTTGCGATATCTCAGATCCGTGTGTGCAACTTACCAGAAGCAGAATCGTGCGATTTAGGATCTGGAGAAAATATTTTTAGTTTTAATATGTAAAATATTAACTGTAAAATATTTTACAGTTTTAGTACAGAGGCTGTTGATTGAGGTCTAAATTAACGATTCGAGGTCAAAAACTCTGATTATTTTTTCTTTTCTTTTTTTTTTTCCTTTCTCCCATTTTATCTGTAGGACTCATCAACTTAAAGCATTCAACATCCTCATGTCCTAAAGTGGAACCATTTCTCCCGGGTCATTACGAAGTGTTGGATTTAAAGCCCTCTGGCAAAGTTGCGTCAGTGGAATTAGTAAAATTTCACAGCTGTAAAGATGAACAGCTCCAAAAAAAAACGCTCCATGTCGCGTGTGATACGGTGGAAGCTCTGCCTTCAGGTAGCACAGCAAAATACTACTCTTGCACTTAGATTACACTTGCTTTGATTAAAAAGTGAACAAAAATGGAGTCTTTGAATGTAAAATTTGCGTTGATTTGCTTAAAAAAGTGCCATTTAAAAGAAAATACGGAGGAACCTTCGTAATGTAAGGACTTAATGATTGTTGTAGGCGGTACAAAGATGAAATCGCATGCCCTCATCAGCAAAAGAAATCGGGGCAAATATCTTTGTTTCCCAATAGCATAATCCAGCAAAGTCTAAGTAACAATTCTTGGATTTATTTTTCCCCCTTCTTCTTTTCTTTTCTGAACAGGCTTTGATCTTGAAACGGTGAGAAGCAACATCCGTATTCTGTTTGAAAATGCTGTTAGAAAACGTTTGATGGCTCACAGAAGGATTGGCTGTCTTCTGTCAGGTAGGTAGCAAGAGGCATAATGATTCTCTCTCTTCCTTCTCTTTTGCCCATCCTCTACTAGTTAGTGGAACGTATCCTGGCTGTTCTGCTGGGATGTACCTCAAGTGATCGAATCTTCCTTTGCTTTTTAGTTCGGAGAACAGAGAACTTGTTGGTTTGTGATCAAGTTTTCCAGGTTACAAGTGAAAGTCTTAGACCCTTAAAGCTTGCTCTGGACTGGGCTGTTGGTTTGTTGAGACACTGACTGTTTTTTAACTGAGAGGAAAGAAATAAAATACTCTTGTTGAAAAATCACCCAATGTGCTTTAAATATATGAGATATATGCTTAGGTTGGTGTCTGAAAGGAAAATGGAATTATTTCATTCACTTTGAGTATAGAAAAGTCCTTGGCATGTTTCAGACAGCAGGAAGACGCGAAGTTCTTACTCGTCACCTTTGCTTTAGCCTCCATCCTAGACTGCCCTTGCTTTACCGAAATACAGGGGACCATCCAGGCCAAAAATACTTGCTGCAGTCTGTTTTCAGGTGAGGAAATAGTACGAGAAGTTGTTCGCTGACTTTCAGTCAGTTCAGTGTTGTGACCTCGTGGCTCAGTGTTACAGAGGTGCTTCCCAGAGGTAAGACTTTGCAGCCATGGCACTGACTTCTTATTTACTGTAGTCTTGTAGCACTTGGTAACTGTGGTTAGAGTTCTGATGTACTGCAAGGAGAACCAGTCAAGGATTAGCAGAACTAGCTCATGAGATTAAGAAGGTCGAGGCTTAGAATAAGCTTGTGCGTCTCTTGGTTTTATTTTTCGCTTGTTTTCCAAACTGTTCAAATCTTTCCACTGTCTTCTGAGAAATAAAAGGAGGAGGGCAAAAAAAAGAGAATGTCACTAGTGAGCTTTTTCACTTGGAAGTGATTTTAAAAAAATTGATTCCACTCAAAATGTGCGAAACACACTTTTGAAAAATGATTGAGGGAGAGTGGAATCCTTACACCGTGTTCTGTTCTTTTACCTAATTCATTTCTGTTCAAACAGCAAACGAAAAAATATTTACGTAGTTCTGTCAGTAGAGTATCCAGTGCTTAGATAAGAATAGGATAAGGGAGTGGGTTTGGAGAATAAATCCCACTGTAGTAAAGGCTATGTTTCCTGAAGAAGGATTTCCACTGGTATTTCTGGCACCGAAAGTACTGACAACTGTTACTGAAGACGTAAGTTGCCTGATTTTTTTGCTGAGCAGAGGTACATGTGCACGCTCACAGAAGTAGCTCAGATTCACACGGCTTAAAAATAAAAGGCCACCCGTGAGATTCCCCTCTCTAGATTCGGTGTCCTTAAGGGGAAAGGAGGAAAAAAACCCAAACAGTCAAACACCTAACCAAATAGTTTGTTTTGTTGGCAGGGGGCTTAGATTCCAGCTTAGTCGCAGCTGTTCTCCTGAAGCTGATGAAGGAAATCAACATCAGTTATCCCTTGCAAACCTTCGCCATTGGAATGGAGAACAGTCCCGACTTACTGGCTGCCAGAAAGGTATCACAAGTGTTGCTTTTGGTTTGTTCTAAGCTGCTGAATGCTAAACCGTGCATATTAATGGTGCTAACTTCATGGTATGGTATTAATAGTAACGTTGAATATTCACGTATGGATGTAAATGAGTTTGCAGTAAACCATTTAGTACAACATTTGCTGCTTGGTTAAGTCTTACAAAAGAGATGATTGAGCCTTACCTGTTTTCTCTTGTGTTTGGAAGACTCATGACAGACTCTCTGCATTGTTACAAAAAGGACAGTACTTTAAATTCTGTCTCTGGGTTTTAGAGTGAATCTCCATGCTATGGTCCCTAAGTTATGGCATGTTAAATATTGCAAGTTAATCGCCAGTTTCCTGAATTAAGAGCCTTGTACAAACTGTTTGGCATCTGGGATACCCTTTAGGTTTCCTGGCTGCCACGCCTTTTGATCTGCTTTTTGTCTTCAGGGCAAATATCAGGAGTATTTAGAGCCTTTACGGACTCTGTTATGCTTTGAGCAAGCAGCTGGATGGTGCATGGTAACTGTGATTGAGCTCTGTAATTAGGGAGACTATGTTCCCTCTGGTGAAGTCAGCGGGGCTGCTACACTGTCGTCTTTTCTTGGCCTCCTGTCGTATAATTCTCCCTGTGAGCAGAAGGGAGCTGACGCTTTCCTCGATGTACGCGTTTTAAACACAGCGCGCGTTTAAAAAACGTCTTAACCGCAAAGCAATACATTATTGTGAGCTTTTACAAACAGGTGGCAGCACATATAGGCAGTGAGCATCATGAAGTAATATTTAATTCTGAAGAGGGGATTCAGGCGATAGAGGATGTTATCTTCTCCTTGGAAACCTACGATATAACAACAATAAGAGCTTCGATCGGTGAGATTTTTTTAACGGCAACCTTTTCTTTATATCACCCAAATAAATTGTTCTGCAAAATGACGTGGTCATCTACTAGATCCTTTAGTTGTCACAGAACCTGGGAACTGGGACTCCCAAGTTTTGCTTCCTGGTCTTGTCTGTGACACTACAGTGAGAAAAAAGCAGTTTTTAGTTTCGAAGTCACTGACTGTACAAACTTCTGGTATTTTGAGGGCTAAGTGTAAGTACAGTTTAATGTTATTTGCAGCTTAGTGTGGCTCTTGGAGGCTTTGAATAACAATGAGATTTCATTTAAGTGTAGGATGATCATGATGATGATGATTGTAGTTGTTTGCTACAGAAGGAAGTAGTTTAAGAGAAAAACTTCTAAAATGCTACGTTTAAAACCATACTAGCTGTTTATAGCATCATGCATGAAGCTATATGTTAATAACCTGAATTTCTTTTTTAAGGTATGTTTCTTGTCTCCAAATATATACGGAAGAAAACGGATAGCGTGGTCATTTTTTCGGGAGAAGGATCAGATGAGCTGACACAAGGATATATATATTTCCACAAGGTAAATATATTCCCTGTACAGAAAGCTCTTGAGCTGCTTGCTCTCCCCTTCAGGAGAAAATCTTTGAGATTTTAAGGTGTGATGTTTGAAAGTTGTCACAGCTGCATATTTCTTGAGACTTCCCCCTGAGGTGGCATAAAATCCAAGGTATTTAGTCACCTACAAAATAAACTTCCAAAAATTCCCAAGACTTACTTCTCATGTGGTCTTTGCTGTTTCTGAGATCACTTGGTGGTCACTACAACTCAAAACACGGGGCAACAAGCAGTAGTTCCCTCAGTGCAGCTGTGTTACGGGTGTGACATCTGATTACAGGCACCATCTCCCGAAGAAGCCGCAGAAGAGAGCGAGAGGCTGCTGAAGGAGCTCTACCTCTTCGACGTCCTTCGTGCGGACAGAACTACTGCAGCACACGGGTAAAACATGATCTCTTGGATGCTGAAGGCTCACGTGATTTAAAAGCCTTGAAAAAAAGATCTTAAAAGTGCTGCTGCCGTTAAGGGAAACGCAGCAGTTCCTCCTTGAGTTGTTGTTACTGTTTGAATGGCTGAGTGACTCAGGATAATTTTATTCTTACTGTCTGGGTCTTAAAAATGATCCTCGGTCTTAAGAGGAGTAGTAGTGCACCTGATGCTCTGCTTGAGCTCTGTGTCTTAATATAACTCGAGACCCTGGCTGCTTTGGCCGAGCAGGCATTGCTCACGTTCCGGGCGTGTGCGGGAACTCAGGGGCCCCGTGCTCTGAGGGGGTGGGAAGCACAGTAGGAGGGCTAGCAGGCTACAAGGCAGGGAAATCTAATCTTCAGATTAGATTTCAATCAGTTCTAAATTAGTTCAATCGGTTCCAAACACTGCTAGACAACCTTGGTGTTGCGATTATAGAA